GTCCCGGACGTGGTCTTCCTTCTTCCTGCTCTTAATCAGGATGTCGTCCACGTAAGCTTCCATGGTTTTGCCCAGTACGTCTTTGAACAACATCCCGATCATCCTCTGGAAGGTAGCCATGGCGTTTCTTAGTCCGAACGGCATGACCACGTAACAGTACACGCTGTCCGCCGTGACGAACGCCGTTTTCTCTGCATCATCCGGGTGCATGAACACCTGATGATAACCTCTGAATGCATCCATGAAGCTGAGCAGCTCGCAGCCCGCCGTTTCGTCTACGAGCAGGTCGATCCTCGGCACCAGATATGGATCCATCGGACAGGCCTTGTTGAGGTCCGAGTAAGCGACTCACATCCGCCATGTGTCGCCCTTTGGGGCTAATACCACATTGGCCAACCACTCCACGTGGACGACCGGCCGGATGTGCCTGATGCTGAGGAGCGTAGTAGCCTCCTTCTTGATGAAATCCCGCCGTTCGGCTGCCATGTATCACTTCTTCTGTTGGACGGGCTTGACATCCGATCGTACGGCAAGTCGGTGGCATATGAGGTTCGGATCAATGCCTGGCATGTCCTCCGGCCCTCTAGCAAATAGGATCTTGAACTTCCGGAGGATGGCTATGACCCCCTCCTTGACCTCAGGCTCAAGGTCGGCGCCTATGGACACCTTCCTGTCCGAAGGGTCATCCAGTTCCACTTCTTCGAGCACGGCAGCCGGTTCCAGACGAGCATCAAAATCGGCTTGTCTGGCCTTTTCAGAAATGCTATTGACCCGGGCTTCCCGCTCGCTGAACCTTTCCATGGCCTTCGTGTAGCAGGCCCTGGCCATATGTGGGTCCGTGCGGGCTACCCCCACGTCAGTTTCAGTGGGGAATTTGATGCATGAGTGCCGCACGGAGCATATGGCCTCAAGATCCTCCAAGCCGGGCCTCCCCAAAATTGCGTTGTGAGCACATTTCAGGCGGACCACGACGAAAGTCATCCGGATGCGGGTGGTGTGAGGTCCGTCCCCGATCTCCACGGGGAGGCCGATGGTACCCTCCGCGTCGATGCAATCCCCTGTGAAGCCAGAAAGAGGGGTGCGCAGGGGGGGCAGCTGATCCTTTCTCAGCTTCATTCCCTCGAACGCCTCCCAGTAAAGGACGTTTACGCTGCTCCCAGTGTCGACCCGGACGCGGCGGACGATCGCATTGTTGATATCCATGCTGATTACCAACTCATCCCTGTGCGGGGCCGGTGACATTGGTAGGTCGGGCGGCCCAAAGGTGATGGCCTCCACCTTGTTCCTTTTAGTGGGGGGAGCCGATATGGAGCCCACATAGAGGGATCTCTCAAACTTCTTCCGCTCAGCAGGTGTGTCCTCAGTCTCAGCACCCCCGAAGATCACCTTGATCTCCAACTTCTTCTTCCCGCCGTTCGGGCCGAGGGACTCCTCCGGACGTTTATCGGCACTTCGATAATCTACGTCTTTTGGTTCGGCCTCGCGCCGATCGTCGCGACGCCATGACCGTGATCTCGGATTCGGCTGCCTCGGGCTATTCTTCTTCAGTAGCTGGGTGAACTCGTCCAGATAGCCCTGTTGGATCAGTTCGTCGATGGCCATCCTCAGCTGTTTGCAGTTGTCGGTAAGGTGGCCGACCCTCTGATGGTACTCGCAGTATGCGGTCTCATCAAGACCCATAAGCGCCTTCTTGTCTTGGGGCTCCCTCAGGAGGCCCTTGTCCTTGATGGCGTCGAAGATCTGGCCCACGGGGTAGGCCAAAGGGACGTGATAATCCCCTGGGCGCACGGTGCTTGCCTCAGGGTGGGCCTTCCACGGGACCATGCCTCCGTCCGTCTTCTGTCTTTTGTTTTGGGGGGAGGGGCCGCCTCCGGGGCCGAGCCTGTCTGATAATTTCCGGGAAGGGGCCGCCGGTGCGCCGTCCCTCAATCTGATTTCCTCCTCAATGGAGGCATACTTCTGTGCCCGAGCCAGTACCTCGGTATAGCTGGTGCTGGGGTTTCTTCGGAGGTCCCGGTATAAGTCCCCTGTTGCCAAAGCGCTGGTGAACATGTTCACTCCCAGCCGCTCGTCCAGGTCATCTACCTGGAGTACTTCGTCTCTCCATCTGACCAGGAATTTGGCCAGAGGCTCGTCCTTCCCCTGCTTCACACTGGTGAGCGATGTGAAGCTCTTCTTGGGGGTGGTGCTGGCGGCGAATTGCACCATGAACTGCTGAGACAACTGTTCGTAATTGTCTATGGATCCGGGTCTCAGCTGCCCGAACCACTCCTGCGCCGGTCCCCTCAAAGTACTGAAGAAGAGCCGGCAAATGGCCTCATCGGATGCTCCCAGCATGGAGAGGTTCCCCTGGAAGCTGATCAAGTGAGCTTTGGGATCTCCGGTCCCATTGTATACTATTCCTCCGGGTGGTCTGCAGTCCCGCGGGATCTCTGCATTCATGACCCTCGGAGTAAATGGTGAGGTGAGGGAGAAGCGAGGCGTAGCTGGAGTGGCCTCCTCCCGTCTGTCCATCTCGGCTATTCGCCGCTCCATTGCCTCTAGCCGGGCCTCCTGTGCGGCCCTTCCGGGGGACACAGGAGGGGCGGCCTCGAGCGCAATGTTCCTTCGTGGGGCAACCGCGTCGGGTTGCCTTCGGGTAATATGGCCACCGCGCCTTTGGAAATGTCGTCCAATATTACTGGCAGCGGGGGTGATGGCTGTGTCCTGATGTTCTGAGGGAACATCCGGTGTGTGCCCCCGATGATCGTCCTGCCAACCATAGCGAGAGGTACTGACGCTGGTGTGCCCCCCAGCCCCGTGGGAGGACGGATTTTGGCCCAACCTCGCGTGGACGGGCGTCCGACGCCCGGCAGATTCCGCTGTCTCATCCAGGGACTGCATGTGGTGGATGGGTGATATGGGCGTCCAGATGGTGTTAGCTGAGTACACCTCCTCATCCGCCTCCTGTTCATCCGCCATCCGGCGCATCCTTTCCGCCAACTCCCTCATGAGTCGGGGGTCGCGTCTGGCCTCGTGGGGGATGAGGTTGGTGAGGCCACCCTCACCCCCAGTAGTTCCCAACGTCTCGGAGCGTTCCGTGGTTTGCCCGCGGTTGCTTCGCCCGCGGGACAGCTGCTCGGAGAGGTCACGTTGTCGATTATTCCTTGTCATCATGCTTGCTGTGGGTAGATTTAGTAGCTGTTTGGGAGAGTTTTGGAAACTTTTAGTTCAGTTTCCCACAGACGGCGCCAGTGTTGAGGTTTATTCCTTCAACCCTCGGGTCCAACACGTAAGCCCAAGGATTTCGAGTGGAGTGTGTATGAATATCTAGCCCAACTAGCAAGTAATATGGATCAAGGAGAACAGTAAGCAGCAAGTAAGTGATTGGGTATTATTATCTCTTAATAACTCCCTAATACAATACTTTTCGCTAAGGCTCGTCGGCCGTTCGTCTTACAAGGCAGTAGAAGTGCTGCGGGTAAGAATGCTATAGCTAGAGTGCTAAGAATAGAAAGTTGCCAACCCTTTACAATGAAATAAATGCTTCTATTTATACCCACCAATGGGCAGGTGGCTATACTGACGTGGAAGCCTGTGGTTCGCTGGTGTCTCAACCACCAAATCTCCAGCATTAAATGCACTTCCCGCCAGAATCTAGGGTTCCCGCCTAATTAGTGGGGACGTTCGTCCGCCCGGGAGCGAGCTGGATTGCCCCAGGTGGCCTCCAAGGGGTATTGGCCATTCGTCCCCTGGCCTTTGTGGATTCTCACCATGCGGACTGGACTGCCTCCGATGGCTAGGGGCTCTCTATGACGACGTTCGTCGCCATTCCGGTGACCCGTGGTCCTGCTCCTTGTCCCTGCATAGACGTTCGTCGAGATGGACCGTTGGCCCATCTGCCCCAACTGTACACGTTCGTCTCCCCTGGGGGAACGTGGGTTAGGCTAGCTTGGTGTTCTATCTCGACGTACGTTCGGAAGGAAGGGTAAATGGGTCGAACCTCAACTTGGGCCATTAACCCAACACTAATTAACGTTTGATGAATCCTAATCTAACTTAACGTTTGATGAATTCTAACCTAATTAAAGTCTAATAATGCATGTAACGAAGCATAATTATAATTAATTTACTAAATTGGAAAGAGAATCTAAAATATTATAATGAATGTTTACTTAGAAGATAACACACGGCAAAACTTTCCATATTTGTACCTTTGAAATGTATTATCTATAGATATAAATAATAATAAAATTTATATATATATATATATATATAAACATATATAGTCTTTATCGTAATTTACAACTTCATTTCTGTATATCCAGGGCTAAAATTAAAGTATTTATATCACTTAGAAAAATAAAATTATAGTAAATCGGGGATAACTAGGTGGCCCGATTAGGCGCTGTAGGCGGATAACTAGACGTCATAGGGGGCCGACTAATTCACGTAGACGACAAACCAATTAGTCAAAGTGCCTGAGCGGAAATCGGGGCGTCCGACCACCGCCTAGCGTTTAAGCGGGGACTAGTCAGACTTGTAGAATGATTTTTAGAACAGACCTAACACTTAACCGGCCTTCATTCTTTTACATGAGATAAGCACACATGTCATCATGAGATCACAAAAATCACAACTTCTCCACTGAATGTTTTTACATAATTAATACATGTCAAAATCAGCAGCAAGATGTGTCATCTAACCCAAACCATTCTCTAAGAAGGTCTCCTCTCGTTTCCATGAAGTCGCCATACTAATAAACGTGATGATGGTAACATAACTACATAAGTAGAAAGAATTCTCCGTATTATCTACGCGTATGAGTTGTATTATACCCAACACAACAAATTGGGTAAATACAATCTGCAAACAGCCCATAGTTCAGTTGTCAAATGCATGGTCATGGAAATATCCATTACATGGAGAACACACGGGGTGGCCCCACTTTGACCTCAACCCTAACTGAATTTTCAATTGACTCAATTCCCCTCTCTTCTTCTCAAACTCCAAAAGTATAAATAAAACCCCTTTTTGAGTTTTTTCTCCATTCACAGAAACATTTCTGAAACAAATCAAATAACGTTAAAGAATTCCGAACGTTAAAATTCATTATAGCTTCCCCCAAAACTCAAAACAGAAGGAACGGATACATGGCATGTACCGTTGCGATTAGCTCACCGGTCTTCTCGCCTTCCAGAATTTCAGTCCACTGCAAAGCCGCCGGCGCCGCATCTTCCTCGTCGCCGGAGGCTCTGACCCGCTCACTCTCTCCTTCATCCGTCACATCTCCGTCTTCGCCTTTGCGGGTTCTCCGTGCCTCGAAGCCGCATCCGAGTGGATTGATTCGACCTTCTACTTCTGACTGTTCTTCTTCGACCTCCTCCACTGTTTGGAAGCGAAATCGGCCGGGGAGGTTGGATATCCCCAACGTTCCGGTGACCTTTGGGGACTGGCCGGACGCAGGAACTGCTATGGGAGAAGATCTGGTGGAGTTTGAAGGAGATGGGTACTCTGTGTGCTGTAAACGGGGGAAGAGAAGAAGGGCTATTGAAGATCGGTACTCGGCTATGGTCAATCTCCGGGGAGATTGTAATCAGGTACACTCACCTTAGATAATTTTGGAGTTAATAGCTCGTGCTTTTCCAATATTAGGGTTGTAGCAGTATCCAGTATACTTTATTGAGTTAATTAGGCAGTTTATAATGTGAATGTTGTACATAACACTAAGTATCGACTAGAATCTCCAACACTTGCCTCATAAAAGTGAGATCTTTGAACCAATAATTATGATAATGGTGTTGTTTTCAGAACATGATCATATATCTCACATAAGATTATCACTTTTTGCCTGTTTAATTTTTTAGCTACTCATGTTATAGACCCATTTCTTTCAGATTTTATCTCTTTGCTTATTTTTATGTTCTATGACTTTTGTCGTATTCAAATTCCATTACTACCATCTAGTTGAACTTTTAGTATTGTTTTTAAACACGAAGAATATAAATTTGCATGTAGTAATTACGACTAAGTTCAGTAAATATGACTAGAACATATTCCGTAATATATTTCTTCAAACATAACTATCATTTTTCTTAAAACATGACTCATTATCATTAACTTCTAGAGAAGAAGTTTTGACTAGTTTTATTCCTTATTAGGGCTACATGGACCTCATTTTTAGGATAGACATGATAGCACTATTCGTGCAAAGTTCTCATGTTATTCTCCTGGTTGGAGCAATTTCCTTGGTATTATTTTGCATTTGTTCAGAAAAAATTGAATTATACTACAATTAGAATTTCATTCGCACCTCGTAATCATTGGGACAAGAGGGAATGCGTAGGAAGGTCTAATCTGTTCATGTGTAACTTTCAGGCTGTTTTTGGTGTATTTGATGGGCATGGAGGAGCAAGTGCGGCCGAGTATGCATCACAAAACTTGGTCAAGAACATCTGGGATGAAATAGAAAAGAGCAGTGACAATGATGACGAAATTAAGGAGGCAGTGAAGAATGGTTACTTGAAAACAGATACTGAATTCTTGAAGCAAGATCTACAAGGTGGATCTTGCTGTGTTACAGCATTTATTAGTAACAGCAATCTTGTGGTTTCCAATGCTGGGGATTGTCGAGCTGTTGTGAGCAATGGTGGCATTGGAGAAGCTCTTACTTCTGATCATCGACCTTCAAGAACGGATGAAAAGGAACGCATTGAGGCTTTGGTAAGCAAGATTCCTCATTGGTCAATAATAGAAGTACAAATGAATCACATTAGGTCTTGGGATACTCAAACTTTTAGCATGAAATACAAAACCTTAAGTCTTAATGTCTCATTAGAGCCTATTAAGCTCAATTGAGTTTTAAGATTGATATGCTCTAGCTAGTCACTATCTTGTGTGACATGTTAAACCATCCACATTGACCAATATAATAACAAGAATCTCCATATAAGGCCTTTTAAGATAGATCCACAAAGCTTAATAGCATTGACCCACCTTCATCTCATTGCCATAAAATGCCACATATATCCTGACATACTGACATATTTGTGATTCATTGCAGGGTGGCTTTGTAGGCTATAGTCGTGGTGTGTGCAGAATCCAGGGATCTCTAGCAGTGTCTAGAAGCATTGGGGACCGGTCACTCAAGCAATGGGTTATTGCAGAACCAGAAACGAGGGTAATCACCCTTCATTCTCAACTGGAGTTCTTGATCCTTGCTTCTGATGGCTTATGGGATAAGGTAATTTGCAGTTTTCATGCCAACTATTGATTTCACCTCTTTAAACAGTCTTCAGTGATGTAGTTATAACTTATAATATGTTTATTGCTCCTAATTTAACCATTTAACTCTAACTTCGGGTAAGTCTATATGAATATAATAATGCCAAAATTGCATTTTGAAGAAAAAAATGAAAAATATATAATTAGAATTTGTAAGAAATACGGAGTAGCATTCTGTCAAAAATATAATGAAATCGCCTTGTAGCACTTAGCACTAACTTGCTGGATTCTAGGGCTGAATTCTTTGTGCTGAATTCTTCAATACCCGATGAGGCGATAACCCACCGACCGACTGTAGGGCTAAATTCTCTATATTTTAGAATAATCGGTCTAAATTGGCAAAACATATTTTAACGGTGCTATTTTTTTTCTAACGCTATGGTTACGAACTTGAAATGCATTTACCTACTAACTATAGAAAGCTCTCATCTCACAGGAGCTAAGGATTCCAATTTTGCCTTGTTAGGTGGTCTAGTTGCCCGATCTAGCCCTAGTAAATTTTGCAGCTCTGGTTTTACCTTATGTGACTAATTTACCAACTTTGCTCATCAGGTTAGCACACAAGAAGCAGTAGACGTTGCCCGGCCTTTCTGCATTGGCTCCGATAAGCCCCAACTGTTGTCATGCTGCAACAAACTGGTCGATCTTTCGGTTTCTAGAGGTTCTTGGGATGACGTGAGTGTGATGCTAATTGCATTGGGAAAATTTTGTAGCAACACATAACCGTCGAAACCTATAAAGGCTGAGTAACACTTCTGAGCTATGTTCTACAAATATTGCCATTTCTTGAAACAGTGATGACATCTCTCTGACTGAAAGATGATAAAAGCAAGACTAGTTTAGAAGATTCATTTATTAGGGGCCTGTATTTTGGCCTGTGATTTCACCATTATTATACATTCTTTTATTCATTTATATATAAAGTAAATAACCGCTATTAGTGTTTTTATTATTGCTCCCTAACTGTCTAACTTGCACTTGATGGATGATGAAGCTTCAAAGCCTTCAATACGTTATACGTGGTAAATTTGCATACCTTTCATACAGGGGTATTGGCTATTTGGCTCTACATATCTAAGGCTCTTTTTGCAAACCCAACTGCAAAACCCAACTGGGAAGTGCTTTTAACTTTTTTAAATGATTTGGTAAAAAAGTGATTAATAATAAAAGACTAAAAGTTGGTAGTGTTTGAGAAAAAAGTGATTTTGAAAAGTAAAAGTTGGTGGTGTTTGGTAAAACAAGTGCTTTTTGTTTAATAGAAAAAGTAAAAAGCAGATTCTAGCTTTTAGCTTTTAAGTAATTCATTTAAGTAGAAGTTGTCGTTTGAAAACATCTTTTTTAGCTTTTTTAAGCCAAAAGCTGAAAAATGCTTTTTTAGTTGTGTTTGCAAACAGCCTAAATTATCTAAAATTATATGATAAAATCATATGATGTAAACGTACGATGTTTATCTAAACATGATCTTCGCCATACTTTTTTGAGACCATGTATTTGATGATTTTATTTATTTAGTTAATGATATTCTTTGTCTATAAGCGAAATATACTAGCTCAATTTTTTAAAAGTACGGAGTATATTTTAGTTTTATTTTGAACACCGTCAAGTAATGAATCCTACTTTATTGAAGAAAAATGATTTTTGTATGCATTGTGTACGTATCAAGTCAAATTGGGTCACCCACAACTATCTTACTATCATATGCATGAGTAGTTCATCGGCAAGACATATAAATATAGGAAATCGTCCACACACAAATAACCAATTCTTGCAAATGTAGCAACTTTTATTGTAGACATTGATTCTGGTATTTAAAAACATTAATTGTGTGCGAGCAGTTTCCTTATTTATTTATATTTATATTTATGTGCATCAAATCAATGTTAAAGAGCGTTTCTCATATGTGACTTATTTTTGGGCATTACTTCGCGCACCTACAAAATTACTATGCACACTCTATTTTGACAAAAGTGTCCCTAGTTTAAGTTTTTGTTTTACGGAATAGTATAATCCATGCGCTTGTTATACGGAGTACTGCCGACTGCGTATGTACTCCTATGTAGTTTGCAGTAGGGTGTTACTTGGCCCACCACTACTTCTTGCTTTTTTTTGTAAGACACCACTACTACTACTTAATGTCTTAATCTAACCCTTGTTATGTTTTTTCTAGGGAATTCCATAATAAGACTATTATGTTTTTTGTTTCGAAATATGAGTTACTACTCCCATGTTGAATGCATAGTACTGCAACTATTTGGCAGTCATGACTACAAAAACTTATTCGGAAAGAAAAACATACTCTCTCCGTCCTCTTAAGTTTGTCCCGTTTTACCTTTTTCGTCCGTCTTATTAAGTTTGTCTCATACCATATTAAGTTTGTCCCGTTTACCTTTTTCGTCCTCTTAAGTTTGTCCCGTTTTACCTTTTCCTTAAGTCTAGTTTACTCATACCAAATTTTAGCTAAAACTTCAATCGGGAAGGCATTCAAATGAATTCTTGAAAATAACCGCGCTTCTAACTGCGCAGTTATTTTCAAGAATTCATTTGAATGCGTTCCCAATTGAAGTTTTGACTGAAATTTGGTATGAGCAAACTAGACTTGATGAATAAGATGCTCAAAAAATTTCATCAAAAAATTCCACCAGGAACCACCCCAAATGACGACGGCCGGACAGAACTTCCTAAATAAGGGCTTATTTGAACTTTTTTTGTTAGTACATGGGCCTATTTGCACCTTTTCCCTATATCAAATCAAACAAGATTTCAATCACTGTACAATACATATACAACAACCACCTACAAACCAAACTAATCTAGACCATACTAAATTACACCAAATTTAAACAGACTGGATTAGATTGGACCGGACTAGAAAATTCCAGTACAATTACAAATATCCTTAATGGCATTATAATTATAAACTAATGTCTCCTAATATATGAATTTATGTCATATTAATATGTATATTTCAAACTTCAAAGTTGCCATCTTATAAATTAACACTTTGGTAAAATACACATTTAGCAATTTCTCATTAAATCAAACTTAAACAGAGTGATCATTCTCTTAAACATATCATATTGGTGCCATATGAAAGATTATAAATAATATTTAATTTTGTAAAAATTAAATAATATTTAATTTTGTAAAAATCCAAACAAAATGAATAGATTATAATGTTTTATAAAAATAATACTCGTAGCGTATTTGTAATTTGAGTAATATTTTTTTTGGTAAATATTGTAGGAGTAGTTGGTCAGGAGTAATTGTTTGCTACAAAAATACCGCATAGAGAAATTGGTAGTGTGCGTTGGATAATAACGTTGCACTAGCAATAATAAACTAATTAATAGTCCGTATGATTAACAAACATAAGAGGGCAAATTTGTCCAAGTTTGAAAAAATGGGGTGCGCCCAGCATTTGTTGGGGTGCGCGAAGGAGCTACGCTTATTTTTTGTTTCTTATATTTAATTTTCTTTATTTATACATTTTATGTAATTTAACTTCACAGTCATATATGAAAAATAATAAAAAATTGTGCAAAATGTTATAAAATGTGAAGGACAAGTATTATTGTTTAAACAATATGGCTTGATTTCCCAAAAAAAAAATATGGCTTGAGCCTTGAAAGTAAACTGTTGGGTCCATAGGTAACTGCCATAGGTCAGCTTTCAAGCCATGCGAAGGTCTAATAGGATGTTCACATTTCCACCCCTATGCTTTATATTTCTCATTTTCTGAGCGGCTAAAAACCCTAGCTCAAACCCTCTCCTTCCACCAGCTTCCGCGAAACATTCTTCCAAACACATTTCTAGTTCTCCTTTCTCCTTGCCGTCGATTTTAGTCTGTTGTCTGTTCTTTCCCGTGCATTTACGCTTCACATCGCCGTTTCCCTGCAGTTGCGTGAATAACGCTAACGATGTCGGACGACGAGAGAGAGGAGAAGGAGTTGGATCTCACCAGTCCCGAGGTCGTCACCAAGTACAAGAGCGCAGCCGAAATCGTAAACAGTAAGTATCTATCTTACTCCGTCTGGGTGTGTGTTTGTACATATGTAGTACTGGTTGATGTATTTTGCCCGTATTATTTGATACAGAGGTATCACCAGCGTAATGCTTAGATAGCACAGATATACATCATATATGCGTGAATGCTGATTATTGTTATCTGCGCGCTGAAAGTTTTATTTCTTTTAAAGAATTGATGTTATTTTTGTAGAGGCCGTGCAACTGGTTTTGTCCCATTGCAAGCCGAAAGCCAGGATTGTTGATCTGTGTGAAAAGGCTGATACATTCATTAGAGAGTATGTTTTCTATATTACGTTATTACGTAGTAATTTTTTATAAGTATGGGACCTGTTATCCTGCCTACTATGTTGTATTCCGTACTGAGTGATTGATTGTGGTGTAGGCAAACTGGAAACATGTATAAGAATGTGAAGAAGAAGATTGAGAGGGGTGTTGCCTTTCCCACCTGCATTTCGGTTAACAATACTGTTTGCCACTACTCTCCTTTGTCTTCTGATGAGACTGTGTTGGAAGATGGTGATATGTTGAAAATGTAAGTACTAAAGATCTGTTTAGTCCTTCTTCAATGCTTTAATTAAGGAAAATTTGAGTCTTTGGTAGAGCATTTGAGATGAAAAGGAACACAATTTTAGCTTTTCTCTGCGAAACTACAGTTCACATATTATAGTTTAGTTTTTCATGTACTCAATATACCAGGCTGTACACCTTATTAGTTGTGTATTCTATGATATGTAATGTTTATTATAAGGTTTTTTGTCTGTTGCAGTGATATGGGGTGTCACATAGATGGTTTTATAGCAGTGGTTGCACACACACATGTGCTTCAAGATGGGCCAGTTACTGGCAGATCTGCTGATGTAATTGCTGCAGCAAATACCGCTGCTGAAGTTGCTTTGAGACTTGTGAGGCCTGGAAGGAAGGTAATTCTTAATAAGGAGAGAGTGTTATCCACATTCTCCATACACTGTTGATGAAATGATTTCATCTCCAGTTCTGCTTCTTTTTGGCCTAAATTTAAAGTGATTGTGCTCATCATTAAGTAAAATGTGATGGCTTGGAACTCTTGATATGCTTGAGTACACAACAATGTCTACAACTCGACACCCTTTCTTCTCATGGATTGTTATTAAAGGTCTAGATAATTCATATTTATATTGTGTCTGATCCCAAACAAACAGCTTACAGAATGATAGAGCTATCAAAAGTATTACCAGTACTATTTCTGTTTCCGTCTCACTATGTTTACTTTTCTATTTTTAGATTTTCATGAATTCTGCCTTATACGTGAAGTTACTATTTGAGTTAGTATTTCAAAATTATCATGATGCTAGTGGCCCACACGGCCACACCTAACCTCTAGGATGTAACGAGCATACAACTCATTGCACAATAAAAAGGAAACTCTTAACTTATACGAAAGCGTAATTAGGATGAGCACATAATTATGAAATGGGTCCATGGGGAAAGTATTTCATTTCTGCATCATTTGAGGTTCCAAATAGCAAATTTTTATTTAGGATATTATTTTCATATTGCCCCTATATCAATTTATGGAGTTCTTTGGTCATTTATAGAATTCTGATGTAACGGAAGCCATCCAGAAGGTAGCTGCAGCTTATGATTGCAAAATTGTTGAGGGAGTTTTGAGTCATCAAATGAAACAGTTTGTTATTGATGGAAACAAAGTTGTGTTAAGTGTGTCTAACCCTGATAGTAGAGTTGATGAAGCAGAATTTGAAGAAAATGAGGTGTATTCCATTGATATCGTGACAAGCACCGGTGAAGGAAAGGTTGGCTTTGACTTTTCCTATATGTCATTGTTTCGTACATGTTTTTTTGTTCTAATTTAAACTTGAGTTTCATATATATTTTTGATATTAACAACTGCAGCCAAAACTGTTAGACGAAAAACAAACAACTATATATAAGA